TTACATTGGGCTATTAATATTTTAGAAAAACAATCAACAGTTTGCTATTTAAACAAGAATTTAACACCACTGATTGTAATTTATAAGTTACCCGTTACAATTTTAAAACATAATTTTCAACGAAGAGATAAAAAGCGCAATTAAGGAAATTAACTAATTAATCGCCACTAAGCATAGATCAAAAGRATGTAAAATAATTCACATTAAAAAATCCCCCAACAACAAGTTTAGTAAAAAATAATACAAAAACTAAACTATATACATACTTAGAAACATACAAACAAAATCGTAGAGTTGTTTACCGAGCAAAGAAAGCGGCATGGAACTGCCTATGTACTAGAAGAGAATGAAAAATTGACGCATACACATGTCTGTCAATTTGTATGGTAATTGTGCGTAATAAATAGTTGATAAGACCAGTTAATAAACATGATTTCTCATTTGTAAGACCGCGAAAATAAAACAAAGCTAAAATTAAATAAAGTTAAAAGATTTTTAATGGTACAAATAAGTCTATATTTATTTTATAAAATAGATACTCAGGTTTTGAAACATTAATTTAAAATTTTGCACACATCTTTCTCTCCCCAACAAGCTGATCATTTGTAGGAACATCAAGTTTCAGAGTACCGCACCACTGCCACACTTTCAAGCAGAGGTGGTGGCCACCAAGGCTGCAATTGAGCCCACTTTTCAGAAAGGTGTGTATGTATGGCAAATTCAAAGCATATTCASTGGACGACAGATTACAGACTTGACTTAATATTGCAGTCGATAGCGTTAATATTCCGACTGTCAACCCGACCTGAAAGTTTTTTTTCCTCACACRAATGCGATTATTGCCAAAGTACAGAGGCGCAAAAAATTCTCAAGTCGCTAGCCGACAGCGCATGGGAAAGAAACAAAGAAACGTTGTTGGCCATCAACAGTGGAGTCTTAACATCTTCCCCGACTCCGATTCAGTGAATGGCGTACTTGGAGTCAAACCATCACCCATTGCAGACAACGAGCTCGMGTTGATATAAGAATCGAGAGTGACCCCTGCGCAGTTTCGTTATGAGGTTAAACTCTTACCTATCCAAAATAGACCCAAACATATCAAAGATTRCAATGACTCCCCGCAGAAAACTGCAAAGCCGATTTTCGCATGTCTGCTTGCGTTCTGGCGTTGTAACTTTGTACCTCAAGTAAGCTCGMAAATGCTGGTCAGCAACCAGAACTTGTGCAACTGCGAGAATTGAAAGCTTGATATTCTCTGAAGATAGAATCACATTAAACCCCATAATTTTAGAACTCCTTGGATCTTACGTCAAGGTAATCAGCCAATATAATGAGCCTCCTGAGTACAAACACATGAACTTTATCGTTTACCGATCCATAAAGTACTAGGCGTCGGAACAGAAACTCCAGAATTAAGCCAAACTAATTAAAATTTGCTTTTGTTCCATTTAAATACATTTGCGACCCATAAGCGATTCGATATGTCAAGAAAAGTAGACGAGATTACACATTCCAATCACACATTGTGGTTTGATTGATAGCATCATGGTGATACAAAAATAATCTGAGAGTAATAATAAGAATTCTTAATATCATTTTCAATCTACGCCTCTAATACAAAGTACAGTCATAAACAAATGGTACACGCTCGTATTTATGAAGCAAAGCGGCATAGGAGTGATGGGCATGAGAAATTCCAGCGTACCTTTGAACAAGCGTTCAAATCAGAAAGAAAAGACAAGCAAATGTCTACAAGATAAGCGTATAGATGCCTACTCAAATAATCTCCGCTTTATGAGCGCTATCTTGTGTCGCTGTGATATGGGTGAGCTACAATTTCAAATTATTTGAGGAGACCAATAAAGTGTCAAAGTGTCATGCTGTCTGAAATCTATGAGTCCATAGCATAATGGATTATCGAAGGGCATATTGGGTTAMTGTATTTTCGCAGCTTGATAATAATTGAAAAATATCAAAAGTAAATGAAGTAAAAATATGTAATAAGATTTAGAGATCAAGTTCAATGATCGGATCAGTGATACCGACCTCCTTTTCTTTGAACTTCAAACTACTTAAGCTCCTCTGGATATCATAGACTTTTTGAAGTATTGTATAGAAATAGATATACTCTTCAACGACAGATAAATGCTGTAGGCAATGGCAGTCGAGGAAATGCCTTCAATTGACTCAAAACCGTTTTAAGTTTGCTGAATAGCCAGAAGTCACACGGAGCTAAAATCAGGCAAATACCATGGTTGTAGCACGATATTAGTTGAAAACTTGGCAAGAAACTCACGAAGAATCACTGCAGTTTGCGATGTTTCATTA